TCTGCTCCACAACAGTTGAGTCTGCTGAACGCGACCATTGGTGTATTCTTCTAGATCATCCAATAGCAGCGAGCACTCACGGATCCGCTCCACGACAGTTGAGTCTACTGAATGCGATCAATGTGAATCCAGCATAACGTGCTGCGGCGCTGCATAACGCCTCGAAATTCCCTAGTCTCCTCAAATCGCATTTAATTTATTTGGGTGTTATGACCCTCACAACGTGTGGTATCACTACCGTTTGCCGGATCAACATGTAGGAGCGCGTTTAAATTGCTCGTTCTTCCATATATACAACGATGGCAGATTTTAACAACGGAGTGGATGGAAAACTGGCTTTTAGAATGCGAAAAGTCAATCCCGAGCAATTTCACACGCTCGTAAAAATGCATCTATCCTTCGAACTGGATCTTAACACGGAAGAGTAAGTGATACCGTTGCACGACTACCCGTGTTTTCTTTGCACGATTAGTATACCGTTGACACTGACAAACAAGATCTAACTTTGATAAACAAGATCTATTATATAATTTTCGTTTCCAATTTTGACTGTTTTATCGATAATGACTACGACAATTGGCTTATTAATTGTAAATGATGATTTATAAATTATTCTCTATTATGATAATACTTTCATTATAAAAAATAAGTGTAATCAAATTGTACAATATGCATACGCTGATAATATCTTGATTGATCCTTTTTTAGCAGTGATGGTATTACTGAGAAAGCAAGATTGAAGAAGTGGGGTTTTCTAAACTTCACCAAAAAATCCAAATCTTCAGTCAATTTAGAAAAAGGTACAGAAGGTGTTATGTTATCTGAGGATGGTATAAATCATTTGACGCAACTGATAGATTATCTGTCTATGGAACAAAGTAAGTAAATATGTTAGATAATGGAAAATTCAAGAATGGAATTAAATATAGCTTTCTTTTCATTCTATAGACATCGTACAAGAGGGAATATTCCGACGGACTGGAAAATTAACAAGGCAGCAGGATTTAAAAACAGCTATGTCTCAAGGTGTATTTTTAGATCTTGATGATGGTAGATTTAGTGTACACGATTGTGCTTCCGTGTTAAAAACGTTTCTGGCAGAACTGTCTGAACCACTCTTGACGGATTTACATTATCCAGCACATTGTCAGATTGCTGGTAATAAAAACAAAGCATATAGTTTCACTTATGATATATAGAACATATTTATTATGGTCCTATAAATTACTTACAGAATTGTGCAGCTTGGATGCAAAATCAAACGATGCAAGACTATTGAGTTCCTTACAATTGCTGTTGCTGCTTTTGCCACCTCCTAACAGAATTTTACTGAAAGCTATTGTTACCTTATTGAATAAGACAGCGAGTTATGAACATAGTAACAAAATGAACAGTGACACGCTAGCCACTCTCTTTACACCTCATTTATTGTGTCCACGAAAACTGACACCTGAAGCTTTGCATATCAATTCTCAGAATCTGTCGTGCCTAGTTGCATTTATGATTAGGAAAGGTACGGAATTGTTTGAGATTCCACCGAAATTGGCTACAGATATAAGAGCATATTGGGTGGAACAAGAAAGAAAATTGCTGAGCCCTAAGAAGACTGATGTAAGTTTCAATTTTAAAATTATACTCTGCCTTATCCTTGCGCAATATGATAAAAGATTTACGATTACAGTTAAACGAGTCAGTACCAGATGCAACTAGTACAGCCCATACTGTATTCAGTTTTGTCGATCGTAAATTAACAGCAAAGGCTAATTCCACGCAAGACACGCAGGCAGCTTTGGCTCAACTATACGCTCATATACAAGCCATGCCAGAATCTGCCAAAAAGCGGCGACTTGTAAAACAATTTAACAAGGAAAATGGACAAGGTACACCTAGGCACGTCAAGAATTGCAAAACTAAAAGTCTTGGAGATTCCATTAAGAAACACATCTTTCAAAAGAAAATCCTAGGCCACAAGAAATTCATTGACATTAATATCGGATGCAATATCACTAGATCGAACAGTGAAGAAAATATATTGTCAACGGTTAGTTTCCTTATAATCTTTGTCTTTCTGTGGAATATTGTTTGTTTGTGTATAAAAATAGCACGTTTATTACTTTTATCTATTTCTCTTTGCATGTCCTGTATAGAAATTAGAAGACTCATTTCTTCCGGCAAGAGCGGTTCTTAGCAAATCAAATGACGAACTTAGCACGGAAAACTGTGATACAACTAATAACGATCTTTTACATGCCAAACACACGAATAGTATAGATAGCATTAAGAATGAAACTTTGACAAGTTGTAGAACAAAAAATATAATATCAATGGATGAACCTACAGATACGAAAGATGAGTTGGATGGAAAAAACACACATGATACAACAAAACAGGACTTGGGTTCTGTCGAACTTAGTTTGAGTTCAAGTTTACAAGAAATTAATGTAATGATTAATGAGGATAGTCACTCTGACACTGATAAATTAACACGACCACTTAGTGAGCCACCTGACTTGTATTCCACTCACAATAATTTAATGGACAATAGTAAATTCATGCGGCGAAACTCAGAATCCATCCTCACGTCTGTTGCAACATTAAATGTAAACAGCTTTCCTTCAAAAACTTGTATCTCGAATGTAAAATCATGCGAAACTACTTTGAATGTTGAATCGCACGCTGAAAATGCATGTACACATAATTTACAGTCTCCGATGGTAAAAAACAGATTCAGGAATGTGTACGCCGTTCATACATCGACGCCATCAAGCTTATTACGAAGCTTGGCAACTAACGACTATATCTTGACCCCTATTACTAACAATGATAGAAGCATGAGTCCGATTACGCAAAGCGCAACAAAGATGACGAAAGCCATGCAAGTACGTAAATTGAAAATAATATATTTCTATATAAAAATATATATATGTAATTTAAAAATACTGAAATATTGAAGTAAATGTCAAATTAAAATTGTAATATAACATAAACCTAAAAATACATCAATTTTTTCATTTGTAATAGGAAACTATGATGACTCCGCGCTCCAGGAAGCCTGTAATGATTGTTTCAACCTCAAATTTATGCAATCTCGTCACTGGCAGCAATAGTTGCGATTTACGTGGACCCAATCTAGATATGGTTAGTACAATAAATAATTGTGCTTCCATTCTAGAGGAATCTCAGACATACAGCAGTACAGACAATGCGTTAGCTTATACAAAAGATGTCGAGAATAAAGAAAATGACAGATTAGACACACTCGAGAAACATAGCTGTATACAATCTGTTGCAAACTGTTGCGCATGTACGCAACAAAGTTCAATGTCCATAACGAGCACGTTCAGAGAATATCTGTTGTCAAGAAGTGTATTAACCGCCAGTCCTGTCGATCTCAGTTTTACATCGCGGACAGGAGACTTTGAGCAATCGGAATCCGATTTGAATATATTAAATGACGATACTTTGTCTGATAGTTTACTGTGTTGCTTGGACGGTAATCAACCAGAATCTGACACTTCCGGCATTGCGTCTGGCAGCACGAATAGTGCAAATAATTCCACTGAGAAAACAGACGAATTGTCTTCTCCGAGAAAACGAGGGACCAGCTTACAACGAAATGATTCTAAAAAATCCGTGAGAGAAAGTGTGATCAAGAGCTCAAGAAGCGAAGAATGCAAACATAAACTGCGCGACGAGTCGACATTACAGCCAACAAAAAGCTTGAACGATAGCTTTCAAGAGACATCATTTTAAGCTATCCATATGAATTATTTAATTATTAGTATTAATATATCGTTAAGTTTAAATAGATTTCTCTGTACGTTGTACACTAAGGCTAAGGAGAGTTGCCAATTAATTTAAGTTTATCAGTACGACTTTATACAGAGAGTTTCACAGAATTGGACAGAGCTATTTATTTAAGGCAACTTGAATAGGAAAAATGTGAGAAAGAAAATGAAATGATTTTAGATACTTCATATTTTTATGTTACTTTTACATATTTTTGTGCACAAGTGCTATTATAAAGTGCAGTTGCGCCTAAAGTAAAATTCCATATTTTTAGGTGCATTAATTAATGCAGTTTTCCTGCTTTATAAAAAATTATTATAAAGTTATGTTTTTATATATATATATATAATTAATTTAGAAATTTATTTTTTCTGATTTTTTTCAAAGATACTTATTAGATATTTATGATAATTTTTGAGCATAACTTTATAATAGCTTTTTGTAGAGAAGGAAAATTGCATCGATTAATACATTTAAGAATATAGAGTTTTATTTTTTTAAAAATGCGACTGCATTTTGTAACACAAAAATGCATGAAAGTAATACAGAAATGTGAAGCATCCAAAATCATTTTATTTTATCCTATAATATTTTTGCTATCTCCGTTTAAAAATTACAGTTCCACTTAATTGCGTGGAGTATCCTATATATAATTTTGTCTCAAATATAAATTTATTATCCAGCAATAACTGGATTATTTATTCCATTTATGTGGAAATTAAATCGTTATTAACTGTGCATACGATGCAAGATATTTAAAAGAATCTCATTTTTCTTTTCAATATTAATAAAGACGTTTGTAAAAGCTGTGTATTGCTATAAAATGCAACAAAGTATTTTTCTAGTTAATTTTGTAATCATCAAATTGCACAATACATAACGATACGCTTTAATATCAAGTGTAATTATTACCTTTATGTATCTTAAATAATTTATGCAATACAAAGTTCAGATAAGTATTTATAAGCAAAATAAACTATATAAGAAAACTCGCATAATATAGCATTTAATTATGATCTCATATGAGAATTTGGGTAGCTTAACATTATTCAAAATTAATTTATATTATACGCTATTTATGTAAAATCATTTAAATCTAACTAGGATGCATTATCTTTTTTGTTCTTAAAAATATAAGACTGATAGTTTTTCAGAGATATTTTACGACTTCATAAACAGCATTACAGATGATTGGGAAGTAACATGCATAGTTATATTTAATCAACGTAAATTAATTAGATAAATTTTTGTGATACAAAAGAATATGTACATTTGTGCATCAGTACATATCGTCGTGACTTAAATCTGGTATATATGCAAAACCTCGTTCTTTCAGAGCTTTGTTTATTCGCTTTTTCTGCTCCTGCTTAGATTCTTGTTCGCGCCTCTGAGCATCCAAAATTTCATCCACCGTCACCTTTTTCAATGGCAACACTTTTTCCTTCTCTATATCCTGTAATATGGATATATTCGTTAAATGAACATTGCACAGGATTATTAGTGTTTATTAACAGAATTATAACAAATATCTTTCTGTTTGTGAAACGCTTACTATTTCTCCTAAAAGCACAACATTCTCCCCTCTTACTATGAAAATACCTCTCGGAATGTCACCATACTCTTGACCAACATGAATTCTTTCAATGGTACTTTGAAGTACTATGTTAGCAAATTGATCGACACTTTTAAGATAGCCAATTAACGTTCTGCCATCTCTCAATAAAACCATAAGTTTTTCTAAACAAGAAGTAAATGTCATAATTGAAACGTATTGATACACGTTTAGAAATAAGAACATAAATTCTTCAAATTTCAGATATATCATGACTTTTGTTACATTCAATAGTTACATACAACATACATTTTATGTTTATAATTTAACAAGTTTTATTTTGTTAAAGAATATAATTATTAGTGCAATTAATTAATTATTTATTATTATAATTATTAATGTAATGAAAATTATTAATTTGTGTTACTCTGTAACACATTCATTGCAAGCTATGACCAAGTGACAATAACGGAAGTGCAAAATATCGTAATACATAGTAAGAACCGGCACGTGAGTGTAATCAATCACATAAATCAGACCGGATACGTACTTTCAAGTTCCTCAAGTAGCGATGCTGTCCCCGGTGGCAACTCATTAGTTTCATTCATTTCACCTGATTAAACAAAATTAACAAACGAACCAAATCACGGAACCACTTGCAATGGTTATTTTTTTTGTTAAATAATACTCCGCTTACTGCCTCACAAAATCATTTGCTAAACAATTTTCGTCGCGCTACGAGACTTGTGAAATAGAGAACTAATTGACAATGCAATAAGAATACCGGTAATATCGCTTGCGCTTTTTTCTTCACTCAGTCAATAAATGAAGCTGTTTTATCGAAGTGTCTTCGAACGTTTATGTTACAGATTGCAGATGGCGATCATATCACGTTATATTTCGCGGAAAAAGCGTGGCGGGCGAGGAGTGAAGAACGAATATCGGTTTCGCATCATCGCGTGCGGCCCTGCAAGCTTTTAATTCGAATAAATCCGAATTGACGAGGAGTTGGGCCTTTTAACATTCCAACGATAACCGCGTCAGTTAGAAAACACTCTTGGCCGTTTCCCTTCGTTATTCCTCTCCTCCAATTTAGACTGACTTCCACGCTCGTCGGCTAACTCGAAGGAATCATGCAGTCATTTCAAATCACCGGTGTTCATGTACGTAAATTACAATTTTAATCGATCTCTATTTATCTCGGCCTAAATAATGGTGGCGACTCTTGTTTTATTTGCATACGATTTTATTTATTTCTATTTAAATGCGTGTGTATCAAGAGATTCGCAGAGAGAGGGGGAGAGAGAGAGAGAGAGAGAGAGAGAGAATCTTACATATATATTCTCAGTTAATAATATAACATTATTACATCAGAGTTAAAAGTTATTTTATAAGTTATATCTTTTTCAGGTTATCTTGTATATATTTATTATAGAAATTGAGTGCAAGAAGTATGGGGTGAATTTATAAAGTTATTCAAGCAGAGCAACAAGTCATTACGATATCATAATAATGTCAAAATAGCTAAAATGATCATTAAAAGTCATTTTTCGATCATTTCCGATTTATTTTAACATCATTTTGACATTATCGTGACTTGTTATTCTGCTTGGGTACTTTTTATGTTACCTTTTATTATATGTGTTTGTTATAGAAATTGAGCATAAAAAGTAATACAAAATTGATGCAAATATAAAAAATAAAATACCCAGACTTATTATATCGACTCAATTTCTACAGTAAAAAAACAACTTATAAGTAACTTGTAAAATAACTTTCCCAATCCTAGTAAATAACTTCTCAGTAAGCAAAAAACATTTAGAAATATTTCAACAACATTGTAACAACGTTGTAATATTACTGCGATGTTGCTGGAATATTCTAATATGTTTGTTGCTTACTGGATTATATAGTATACTTTCTTAATCCTACATTATGTCAATTTATTAAAATTTAATTCCCACTCAATAATTTAAATGTAATATAACACACACTGTATGTATAACAGAGATAATATTGAGTAGAAAATTGTAATAATATTAATGTTATGTTATATTTTGTATTTACTGGATTTTAATGTTCTATAAATTCTATTGTTAAGACGAATTTATTTATTTCATGATTGAAATAAAAAGCAGCATGAAATGTATACAGGTTTTTTTTTATTGAATTTACTAATTATAATGTTAAAATAATTATTAAAATAGCTATTAAAAATCTTCCTTTTGACATCACAAATTTCTCTAAACGTTTAAGCTTCAAATATGTTTGCAGCACATACAAATCTCGACGTTGCAGCTTTTATCTAATTACTCTCCAGAACCTCAATACTTCAATAAAATTCTCGTTTCTAGAATAAATTTTTTTCGTTTAAATTTTATAGGAAAGAGCTTGTCCTTAATTGCACCAAAATATTGAATACAAGTAGAATACAAAATTATAATGAGATCTTAAGATAACATCAAATTGAAATCATTTTAGGAAAAATCATAATGATGTCATCAAATCAATTTCCTAAGTAGAACATGAAATAATAAAATCAAGATTACAAGTTATTTTATGAAAAATTATAAACGATGTCGTTTGGTACACTTCTTGACCATGATTTTGTGATACTTTCTTGACATAAAATGATTTTTTAATTAAATAAAAAATCGCTTGTCTCACACATACATGTTAAAAATTTATCACAAAGTCGTCATCAAAAGTATATCGAATGACACATCGTTATAATTTTTCATAAAATAAATTCTGTTTGATGTAATTTTGATCTCATTATTTTATGTTCTAGTTGAGAAATTTATTTGATAAAATCAACGTCGGAATATATATATATATATATATATTGCATTAAGGTTTTGCGTGCTGTGAAAATTTAAAGCTTTACCGTTTGAAAGAATTTGTGAAGGCAAAAAGTGAACATTTTTAATAGTTATAATTACTCGTAATTTTATAACAATTTTGTAATTGGTCAATTCAATAAAACAAATGTACATTTCATACTGCTTTTATTTTAGTCATGAAATAAATCCACATTTTTTTTACGAACAAAATTTATGGTACGGCTATGTACATTTTTTGTGAGATACATCTTTCATAAGATAAAATATATCTCGACTACAATAGGAGGAATTTTCGAGATAAGTTAATGTTTAGAAGAAAATAGAAAGATTGTAGCGATATTTCGCTGCAAGATTGAAAATATATTACGCGATGCTATTGCCGCATTGTCGTCGAATGCTAAAATGTTCTTTTCAGAAAAATTATCGTGTAAACGCGCAATAATATCTCCAATTCAATTTTAATAGTGTGATAAATATAACGCGCGTTTATTTAATACAATTGTTAATTAAATTTTTATTTTTTTTATGTAATTGAATTTTTTTTTCTTTTATTACTTGTTTATATAACTTATATCATAAAATTACGCTAAAAGGATAACGCTATGATCAAAATATTCTCAAATTACATTTGAAAGCATGTCAAAATCTCAAAGAAAAAAAACTTTCTATTGTCTTTTTTATTTATAATTATGTATAAAAATCGCGAATTAACGCGATTACGAGATAATGTTATTTCTAACAATACAAGTAAAATGTTGCAATAATCAAATTTTTTGCTTCAACTAAATAATTTCATTGCATCAATCAAAGATTTGTTTGCTCATATCAAAACAAGAGATTAGTTGATTCAATCAAATGGGATTCTCAGTGAAGAATGCATTCAATGCTCGTTAAACCGTCGCAAATCGGTATTTAAAATAAAAGGAAATATATTTCTAGTGATACGCGGGTAAGAAATGGCAGAAGCAAAAAAAAAAGGCGGATGAATATTCAAACAACATCGCGGCGGCAATGGGGTTCCAAAGTTCCGACGCGTTCCTGCGACGCACCTGGGTCATCTCAGGCGTCGGAGCGCCTATCCGGGACTCTGCTTTACGCGGACACTTTATGCCCCCGATTGCGAGCGACACCGGAACGCTCTCAACTACACCCGGCAACTATCCAGAATCCTTTTCCGATCGCAAAACAACGGAGAGGAGAACGCGATTTAATTTAAGGACCTTGTGAAGCCGCGCGCGGCACGTTTCCCTTCTCTCGCCGCGTAGTCGGCGCCCAGTTCGGCGGCACGTTTCAATAATCGTGGGCACGACAACGACGACGAGCTTTCTCGTAAACCAGATTCATCGTCTCGAAACGACAAATCTTATCTGGACGGAAAGTAACGCATAGTAATGCAATATTTTCAAATAGCGCGCACGCGATATTTGGTCTTAATGACCGTTTCGGGAATTTTCAAAAAATTTATTATATGTTCTTTTTTTCTCGCAAATGCGTTGATGAATATATTATTGTTTCAAATCTGTAAGGCCACAATCATATTCTGGTAATTCCAATTATATAAACAGTCTTAAATTAAGAAAGGAGGTGCAATGATACATGTATATAACATATTGTATTTAAATGTTATTTCTGTCAATTATTCGTCACGATTACAAAGGCTTCAACACTCCGAGTTCTTACAAATTATACATGGAGGGTCAGAATAAATATAGTGTCGTGAAAAATTTGGTGGTACCGCGCCGCAGTTGCATACCGCGTGGATTTCGGCTGTGGTTGTGTAAGGCTGAAATTTGAAATTCAAATAAAGCGGTAAGAGGTTTACGACGGGCTTAAAGCCGGTGTTACTTGGCCGTAAGAATCACGGGACATCTTTGCTTCCGAAGAAAGTGGGTGCATACGTGTTAAATTCGCGGATTCGATCAGACAAACGCGTACGTTTTAAATTTCTGGCAATTTTCTCTTGTACAATACTGCATAACATAAATCCGATCGTTAAGTCTCTGTCCTTTTCTTGTGATTAAGGCTCTTATTCACTATCGCAGATTGTGATGTCGGGAGTTTGAAAATACACAGTAAAAATTCTTGCAAAATATATTAATACGGAAATTTCAGTAAAACACACAAGACTTACAATCAATAGAATCGACTTGTAAAATATACTGAAAACTCCTTTTTGTTTTGTCAATTAATAAATATAAGCACAATTAATAAATATAAACCATTTTTTTATATATAGCCAATACTGAAAATCTACAGTATATGTAATAACCTGAACTATAAATTTTCAGTACTGGCAATATATCGGAACACGGCCATCTGAAAATGAATTATACGTAAATCAAAATAAGTTATGCTCATAGATGTGGCAAACTATCTAAATTCTAAATTAATAATATGTATAGTATATAAAATTAGATATAATTTAATTTTTTTCCAAGACAAGAAGATAATTCGGCACATATTTTATAAGTTTAATCTATTATTTGTAAATGTTATTTTATTAAAAAATATTTTCATTCAAATACAACTTGCCAGAATTTTTATTATATCTTTTCTCCTTTCTAAACGTCACAATCTGAAATAATAATAATAAGTGAAGAGCCCTATAAACGCTAGTATCCTTGCTTCCTGCAGAGGATGTTACATAGAATGAACTCATGGAGGATATCCAACGATAGCTACGCGCTATGAAATCGAAACCGGGGTCGCGAGTCACGACCGAGTCGTGCCGGATAGAAGTCCGAAACGATTTAATGCTCAGCGAATGGCGGGTCTTGGGAAATCGGCACCGCAAATACGGCGAAACGACTCGAGATTGTGGAACAAAGTCCGGGGAGAAGGGAAGATCTGGTGGGGGGGACCGCCGGAGCGAGGACGAACGGTTATGCCGGGGGAGGGGGAGGG